CCTGTATTTTGCTGAAAAGTTCCTTTTTCTAATTTGAGATATCAAAATTTTGTATTTTTGCAGTGAAGTTTCTATGGATGCTGATAGAATGGGTGCTGCTGTAGCTGTCTGTGTTGCAACTTCTCTGCGGACAACTCTGACTGAAGATTGTTGTTAAATAATCTGGATTGTTTGTTTCTGTTCTCATTCCCTGAACAACTGAAGCTAATAAAATACATGGAGGTTTGTGGTTGTTAAAACGCTAAAAGGCTGCTGAATGCTTTGACTAGGCCACAGCACCAGGTGCTTTACGTCATTATTGAAGACGACCAGCAGGGAAGCGACACGCTCCGCTTGGCGGCCCAGTGGGATTGAAGATGTGGGATTAACAGTCTTCAAGCTCGAGTTTTGTCCGACACGTTTTTCAGGAATAGTTTTGCATCTGTGAGAGTCGCAGCTCTTTCCAAATGTCTTTTTACAATTCCCAACTTTTCATTCCAGTGTCATTTTGACTTGTTGAGCTCAACTGACCTGTTAAAACAAACTCCTGTATAAACTTATAAAAAAGAAAGTTATTACATTAAACTCGTTTGTCTGGGGTCTGTTATTGAGATATAACATAAAACTACACTGAACAAAAATATAAAGCCCCATGTCAAATATAGGAGTTTTATGAACATTGGGTTATGCAATATATGGAGAAACTCAAACTATATTTCCACTAATTACTGATCTTCATGTCGGCGTTGATGAATCGCGGTTCAGCCGTTTGTCATGACTGAGGAGTCTGGTTCTGACCCAGTGGGCTTCCCGTAGGCGGTTACGGTCTGAGCTCTGATGCGTCTGTTGCTCAGACCAATAATCTCATCGGCTGCGTGTCGCTGGGCTGAACCCGTCCTCAGACGGACGAGCCGACGTGGACACCTGGTGCTGGAGCATCGGAGAGGATGAGGAGGATATGCAGTGCAGCCGTTTGTTGGAAACCGGCTCTTAAAGGGCCGGTGGTCCGATAACGGACCGGTCCGATATCCGATACTGAGCCGTGCAGCTGCTGCATCCAACATGCCGGCGGCTCCCACAAAACATCTCAGGCTTTATGATTTCTGAAATAATGTGACATTTTGGTGCCTTTTGTTGTCCAGTCCAAGGATTGTCCAGCTGTTGCTCATTTTGTCTGATCACTCAGTGGACATGACCCACAATGCACTGCAGTAAATAACTCACTGACAGGAAGTTGGATTAAATATCATACACAGATCAAGAGAAATATTACTTTGGTACAATAAAATGTCAGCGATGCTCATTTAAAGTTGTTACCTCCACGTGGCAACAATATCTGACATGTTTATATGTTTGTTAAGTATATATAGGAAGCATTTGATATAAAATATTCATTTTCAACATGTTGGGTACAACGGTTTACAATACATATTATAAAAGTTCCTAAATTTCTGTTAACTAAAGTTGAGACTTTCAGAATAATTGCTAACAACATAAACTGCAGATCAGAGTATTATTGTCTGTTTCTGGTAAAAGTATGGGGAAAGAATATATATAAAAATTCCCTACTCACCCACCGCGGGTGGTTCTTATCCTCTGAACTCGGGTCCTCTACCAGAGGATATATAGATCTATATATATAGATCTATATACATAGATCTATATATGGTCCTCTACCAGAGGCCTGGGAGCTTGAGGGTCCTGCAGTATCTTGGCTGTGCCAAGGACTGCACATTTCTGGACTGAGATGTCTGATGTTGTTCCTGGGATCTGTTGTAGCCACTGCTCCAGTTTGGGGGTTACTGCCCCGAGGGCCCCGATGACCACAGGCACCACTGTGGTCTTCACCTTCCAGGCCCTCTCCAGTTCTTCCCTGAGGCCCTGGTATTTCTCCAGTTTCTCCTTTTTCCTGATGTTGCAATCACTTGGTATTGCTACATCTACCACAACGGCTTTCCTCTGATGTTTATCCACTACGACAATGTCTGGTTGGTTCGCCATTACCATTTTGTCTGTCTGGATCTGGAAGTCCCACAGGATCTTAGCTCTGGCGTTCTCCACCTCTTTTGGGGTGTTTCCCACTTTGATCTCGGGGTTTCCAGTCCATATTCTGCACAGATGTTTCTGTACACTATGCCTGCCACTTGGTTATGTCGCTCCATGTACGCTTTCCCTGCCAGTATCTTGCACCCTGCTGTTATGTGCTGGACTGTCTCAGGGGCCTCCTTGCACAACCTACACCTTGGGTCTTGTCTGGTGTGGTAGATCTGGGCCTCTATTGCTCTGGTGTTTAGGGCCTGTTCCTGGGCTGCCAGGATGAGGGCCTCTGTGCTGTCCTTGAGTCCAGCTTTTTCCAGCCATTGGTAGGATTTACTGATATCAGCCACTTGGATTATTTGCTGGTGGTACATCCCATGTAGGGGCTTGTCCTCCCATGATGGTATCTCTGGCACCTCAACCTCCGTTCCCTGTTGTCTGAGACATTCACTGAGCACATTGTCTGTTGAGGCTTTGTCCCTGATGTATTTATGGATCTTAGTTGTTTCGTCCTGGACAGTGGTTCTCACACTCACTAGTCCTCTGCCTCCTTCCTTGCGGCTCGTGTACAGTCTCAGGGTGCTGGATTTGGGATGGAACCCTCCATGCATGGTTAGTAGCTTTCTAGTCTTAATATCTGTGGCTTTTATCTCCTCCTTTGGCCAGCTGATTATTCCAGCAGGGTATCTGATTACTGGCAGGGCATAGCTGTTTATCGCACGGATTTTGTTCTTGCCATTGAGCTGGCTTCTCAGGACTTGCCTTATTCGTTGGAGGTATTTAGCTGTGGCTCCTTTCCTTGTGACCTCATCGAGGTTACCATTTGCTTGTGGTATACCTAGGTACTTGTAACTGTCCTCTATGTCTGCTATTGTTCCTTCTGGGAGTGAGACTCCTTCTGTGCGGATCACCTTCCCTCTCTTTGTGATCAGCCGACCACATTTCTCTAGTCCGAATGACATCCCAATGTCAGTGCTGTAGATCCTGGTGGTGTGGATCAGTGAGTCGATGTCTCGCTCACTCTTGGCATACAGCTTGATGTCATCCATGTAGAGGAGGTGACTGATGTTGGCCCCATTTTTGAGTCTGTATCCGTAGCCAGTCTTGTTGATGATTTGGCTGAGGGGGTTCAGGCCTATGCAGAACAGTAGCGGGGACAGAGCATCTCCTTGGTATATGCCACATTTGATGGACACTTGTGCAAGTGGTTTGCAGTTGGCTTCAAGGGTGGTTTTCCACAGCTTCATCGAGTTTGCAATGAAGGCTCTCAGAATCCTGTTGATGTTATACATCTCTAGGCATTCAATGATCCAAGTATGCGGCATTGAGTCATAGGCTTTCTTGTAATCGATCCAAGCCATGCACAGGTTGGTGTGTCGGGTTTTGCAGTCTCGGGCAACTGTGCGGTCTACGAGGAGTTGGTGTTTGGCTCCTCTGCTATTTACACCGATACCCTTCTGTGCCGTGCTCATGTGTTTATCCATGTGTTTGCTTATCTTGGCCGCTATGATGCCTGACATGAGCTTCCAGGTTGTGGAGAGGCAGGTTATTGGTTGGTAGTTGGGTGGGACTGGACCCTTTGATGGATCCTTCTGGATTAGGATTGTCCGCCCTTCAGTTAACCATTCAGGGTGAGTCCCACTTTGTAGCAGCTGGTTCATTTGGGCTGCCAGTCGCTCATGGAGAGCAGTGAGTTTCTTTAGCCAGTAGGCATGGATCATGTCAGGCCCTGGTGCTGTCCAGTTTTTCATACCTGAGACTCTTTCTTGGACATCTGTCACAGTGATGGTTACCGGGACTTGCTCAGGGAGGTTGCTGTGGTCCTCTCGTAGAGAGATCAGCCACTGTGCATTGCTGTTGTGGGACGCCTCCCTTTCCCATATGCCTTTCCAGTATTGTTCCGTCTCCAGCCTTGGTGGGTCTGCTCTGTTGTTATTACCCTGCCATTGAGAGTACACCTTAGCTGGTTGAGTGGAGAAGAGCTGGTTAATCCTTCTGGATTCATTCTCCCTTGTGTATCTCTTTAGGCGGCTGGCCAAAGCTTGGAGCCTCTGTTTGGCAGTCTCGAGTGCTTCAGGTATGGGCATCTGCCTGTACTTTCTGGGTACTGGTCTTTTCATTGTACCCTTGTGGAGCTCTGACAGTTGGCTCACTTCCTTCCTTGTTACCTTGATTTTAGCCTCTCATGGTTGCTCTTATAGCCAAGTATCTCAAGGATCACTGATGCTGAGTTGTAGATCAGTATTCGTAGCCAGTCATTGGTATGGTGTTGGTGAGAATGCTGCATTCACATTCTCACTGGGTGGGGACTTGTAGTTAAGTCCCCACAGTTCTGACATCCAGGTTCTCGTCAATCTCAAGTTGTGATAGCAGTTGCCGTTTGCGGATGTTGGAACACTGAGCTACTAGTTGTTTAGCGCTTAGTGTTGACTGGGGATGTCGAAGTAACCATTCCTTCCCCAGTCTTTGCATGTAACCTCTCTCACTAGGGTTACTTGAGTAGTAGCATTCCAACAGATCCACATTTTCATCTCTCGCCCATTTCCGTCTTGTTCCAGTAGCCCATTTGTCATCAAGGTGCTCTGGTTCCCCAACACCTGACGCAGACCTTGTTTGGCCGGGCGACGTCTGAGCCGGCATGTTACGCAACTTAGTATCTCTCATGGTATGAGGTAGGCAGTAGCTTGAAGGTCTTGCCTAAGGACCCAGACTGGATTCGAACCATATATATATATATATATATATATATTATATATATATATATATATATATATATATATTATATATATATATATGCGCCAAGTATCTCAAGTGTTGGTATATGCAACATTTGATGGACACTTGTCCATCAAATGTAGAGATAGAGATAGATATATATGTATATCTATATATAGATGAGTGTTTAGTAACACAAAGAAATCCCTCCAGCAATAAAACAGTCAAAGTTCATAAATACAGACATGAAAAAAACTTGTGATACGAGAAAAGTTTCATGATTTCTTTAGTGTTTATTTATTAAAACTTATACAGAGAAACGTAACTGGAGCTTCGCCATCATTTCAAAATGTTCATTGAGGAAGTTTTTGTTTTTAAAATAATCTGAACAACTTTATCAGCGTTTGATAAAAAAATACTGAGCATCAAAATGTCATGAAATGTAAAACATGAACAAATATTCACCCTGCAGCTCGGAAGGCAACAATAACTTAGCAAATCAAACGTCACAACAATCAGCAGGAGGATTTTCCAGTTTGGGTTAAACTGAGAACGGAAACTGACCGACTGCAACCCCACAGACCGACCGGCAACTTCTGGACGATCTGATCAGATCATCACCAACCGGCAACCGACACCAACTGGCAACCTACACCAACCGGCAACCGACACCAACCGGCAACCGACACCAACCGGCAACCGACACCAACCGGCAACCGACACCAACCGGCAACCGACACCATGTTATTTCTGACAGTCGCAGCTCGTAGTGCAAAGTTGATGCGTCAGATTTCCCATAAGGAGGTGAAAACTCTGCTGTGATAGAAAGTCAAAATGTACATTAGTGTTTTGCTATTTAATAACTTGATAAATTGTAAACCTTCATGTTTTAGACGTTGCTTTAACGGTCACATTCTTCTCTGAATGTTTCTAACAAACTGAGCTGAAAAACAACCATAACTGGTTTCCTTTGACTGAAGTTGCAGTTTTTCTGTCAGAAAATGTGGATTTCGCAGCAATGTGAGACCAACGAAGGCTGACTGTTGCTTTTCTTCGTACATCCAAGGCTGTCGTGGCAGAAAAAGTGGTGAACATGGACGAAGTGAGGCTGTTGAACGAACCTTCTTCTTCTCCTCGGTGTTTGTTGGTGACTCTAGATGAGCGTCCGGATCTCCGTTTTCCGTCTCTTCTGCTGCGATCACAAAGAAAAACAAAGATGGAGTCTGGGTTCTGCTCTGTGATTGGCTGCCAGCAGACCCAGACTGACGGAGCAGAGTAATCCTCCAGCTGCTCTTCCCGCATCACTTTCCATGGCAACAGGAGTACAAATACGAGTCTTTCTTCTGACCCAAGTCGACGCCGGTTTCCTCTGGAGCAGAAAAGAAGAAATTCATTTCCTGGGTTTTATAAATCATCTCTGATCACACTGAAAAAATAGTTTAGTTTCCTGTTCGAATGTCTTAATTTAGTTGTTGAAATAAAGCAGATTTTCATCAAGACAACAGAGTTCAAGTCAATAATTACTTAATTAATTTTAAAAATTGTCTAGGATTATTTCAGTTATGAAACGTTTTTTGAAGAAATGTGAATAAAAACTGTAATTTATGTGTTTTAACTGATATACACTATTAAAACCCTAAAGTTGCTTTTATAAAAATGTTTTTTTTGTCACAACTCTACACAAAGTGTTCAGAAACATCATAAATACATTTAACTTCAGAAGCCCAACATGCACAATTTGGAGGTGTGTGCGCATTCCACCAGTTTAGTCCCAGAGGGAAACGATGCGACTGAAATCACTTTAAGTTTATTTCTCAAGTCGACATTTAAAACTGTAGGATATAAAAGTGGAGCTGCTCCTGTGTAGTTATGATCCATTCTGGTAATAATCCATGTTCTGGTTTCAATCTGTCCACCAGCTGATTTATGAACCGGAGGAATCGCTGCAGACTGAAACTGAACCACACGGGTGAAAGTTTTAAAGTGCAACTGAACCGATTATGTTCCAAACTGGATGTGAAACGGATCAGCTGGTTTTCCTAAGGAAACTCACCAGGCAGGAGTTGGAAAGCTGAGCTGCTGAAATCCTCGGCAACTTTCTGGAACAATTCATCTGGAAAACAGATAAAAGTTCAAAGGTCAGATCAGAGCAGAAAAGCAGAAATTCTGTTACTCCTGAGTTTTGTTTGTTTTCCATGTCTGTCCTGTAGGGGGCACTGTAACGTCAGGAGCAAATGTTCTTGGGTTTGTACTCTTCTGCGCTGGTTCTGTCCGGGTCATGAACATGGCGGAACAAAGTTGAGCAAAGAATCAAGTTATTTTACTGACTATCGTTGGTAGCAGAGGACGGTTAGTAACTACAGCGTTCTGCCAACGTTTGAAGAAGGAAATCCTTCCGAAAGCCGGAAGAACAAAGTCAACATTTGGATGAGAGATACAGATTTGGAGAAGGAAAAGCAGCGCCTCCTGTCGGCCTGGATCGGTGGGAAAATGGCGGGACGCCATGAGAGCTCCGTTAAGTAAAGACACTGGATGACTAAACTTGATGACTTTCCTACAAGAGGAAAAGAATCATGAGGCTCGGATTTTGACTGAATCATAGGAGACGTTAACGTGTCAATGGTGGATATATTACTGATTTCAAGAGGCGTCATCCGGGGATGAAAAATCCAACATGGAGGAACTTGAGGAGTTTTGGCTCTTAAACTTTTGGACGCTGCGAGTTTGTATATAACTAACTAACTAACTAACAGACAGTTGGCTGTAACAGGATGTCAATGTGACATTTGCTTCGCTTTGAAGAGAATCTTTGGCGGCAGCTGAAGGCATCAACCAGCAGCAACGGAGGCAAAAGGCCAAGAACTGGCAGCAAGGTCCCAAAGGAAACCCGCAGTGGGTCGGTACCGGGCTCCAAATGCCCAGTGGGCCAAAGTACTTTTCACTGGGTTAAAAACTGACCGGACAAAGCTGACAGTATTAAAATGACTGATGATACAAAAGTCGTGGAAGAGTCCAATTTAACTCTGAACACCAAAGAATTGGAAAGGACAAAGGACCCCAACCCTTAACCCTGACCCTAACCCATGTGACACTGGAGACAAAGTCTTTACAAAGGAATGGAAAGGGCCAGGACTGCTCATTGGTCAAGATGGTGCAGTCGAGTTTGTTAGACAAGGAGGCTCTGGTGTCAGAATGAAGAGCCTCAGATTATCTGCAATGAGAACAATCAATGAGAACAAGGCGGACATCTCTGCAGAGAGCGTAGGATCAGACTCTAAATGCTGAAAATCATCCCGTCTGAGGCCAAGAGGCAGCACACTGGGAACATCATCATCAAGACAGGTCAGATTTTCACATTCAGAAATGCAGAGGGTGTCTCACAAAAAGCAGCCAAAGTGTTGGGGCATGCTGGCAAGGTAACTGGGAAACACAAGAACTGGTTTAATTAGAGCTGCTTCAGCCTGCTGAAGTGGCTGGCAACAGTGAATCAGTGGGAGGATCTTCACGTCCAGACAGACGTTCAGGTACGGATACGCACCAGGATCATCCAACATGTGGTTGGATGCAGCAACAACATGTTGCTGCATCCAACATGTCTGAGGAGATTGATAAAGTTGGAAACAGAAGCAAGTGTTTGAAGAAATTGAGGACAAATGTGCATCTCCACTCAGAAAGAGACTGGAAATGGAATAATCCCAAAAGGAAGACTTGCTGCACAAGGATTTCAGGAGCTCCAAGTTTCTGACCTACAGTTTCTGAGCCTCAGTCACTGAGACTCCTGCTGGCAGTTGTGTCAAAAACAATGGAAACTTCACTCAATGGACATTAACTCTGCCTTTGTACAAGGAATGCAATTGTCCAGAGACATTTTCATCAAACTTCCTCCAGCGGCCAACACCTCAGGTGAGCTTTGGACCCTGGGAAAACGTGTCTGATGCTTCACTGTGTTGGTATAACAGGCTGAAAAGCCTCATGGCTGAACAGGAGGCGTCACGTCTCAGGTTGACCCTGAAGTTTTCTATTGGTTGGATGAGGGAAAGTGCTGTACTTGATGTCAGGTTGATGATGTCATATGAGTGGATCACATATTTTCAGAGTCAGTCACCTGAGGTCAAAGTTTAATGTCGGTTGTGAAGCACACAATAGATTTTCTATATGGGTAGATTTCGTTACTGAAGGTTCGAATCCACCAAGAGTCAAACATCCAATTCAGCTCCTGCAGCCCAAACACCGAGCATCAGGAGCTTCACCGAAAACCAGACGCAGCGGCTCAGGTCAGAGACGCAGCTGATGCGTGCGGCAGGACAGCAGATGCTAGTAATTTAGCATTTGGTCTCAAACAGGCTACATTATTGAAGCGAACAGAGTTGTGTGTAAGAGCTCGAGGCTGAGTCGGTTGAATTGAATTTTCAACACAAAGAGAATGAAGAGAATTGTCAGAAGCTGGCAGCTGAAACACTCGCCATGTTTGAGGGGGTTGATGATGATGATGATGCCATTTTTATTTCCACACTCTTCTGAACACAATGCTGATTGTCCTGTGATCTGTGACTGATCATTTCTCTCTTGTTGATGCTCTTAGGTCAACTTAGGTTGTTGCAAAGAAAATCATTATAGAGCTGATTCAAACTTACAAAGTTCATCAAGTGTTGTGGTCTCAAACCAAAACCAAGTCAGACTGTTAATCATCGACGACCGCGCTGCTGCACGCTCTTTATGAAGGACTTTGAACTGTTCAGTCAATTGATGTTTCACATTCTGTCACGTTGAAATTGTTCTAACGAAAACCGTAACAGCTGTGTTTTGTCATGAGTCTCAAAATATTTCTCATTTTTCTTTTCAGCAAAGTGGGATGTTACTCCTGAGTTTTGCTTGTATTCCATGTCCTTCCTGTAGGGGGCACTGTTACGCCAGGAGCAAATGTTTTTGGCTTTGTACTCTTCTCCTGCTCTGGTTTTGTCCAAGTCATAAACATGACAGAACAACGTTGACCAACAATTGACTAACAATTCTGTCAAATCTGAGGAATTTACTATTTATTATTATTATGTTTTGGAAAATACAGATACAACCAACTAGGTTTTTCACCTTTTAAATGTCCATTTAAATGATTCTCTCAAAGACAGTTTTCAGCTTTTTTAAATAAAAAAGTCAAGAAACTCACAACCAGTTTTGGTCAAATCCACAAAGTCGTCATTAAAATCATATTCAGAGTAAATTTATTCTTCACTGACAGAAAAGTGAAACTTACCGACGTTTTTTCCTGTTTTACTGGAAGTTTCAAAATACTGAGCACCGACATCTGAGGACGAAACAAAACCTTCAGCAGATGTTCAACAAACATGAGAAACTGATGAATGGATGGATAATGGATGAATGATGGATGGATGAATGGATGGATGGATGGATGAATGATGGATGGATGAATGGAGGATGGATGGATGGATGGATGGATGGATGGATGATGGATGATGAATGGATGATGGATGGATGGATGAATGGAGGATGGATGGATGGATGGATGGATGGATGGATGGATGGATGGATGGATGGATGGATGGATGGATGGATGGATGGATGAATGGAGGATGGATGGATGGATGGATGGAGGATGGATGGAGGATGGATGGATGGATGGATGGATGGATGATGGATGGATGGATGAATGGAGGATGGATGGATGGATGGATGGAGGATGGATGGAGGATGGATGGATGGATGGATGGATGGATGATGGATGGATGGATGGATGGATGGATGGATGGATGGATGGATGATGGATGATGAATGGATGATGGATGGATGGATGATGAATGGATGGATGATGAATGGATGATGGATGAATGGATGATGAATGGATGATGGATGGATGGATGGATGATTGATGGATGATGGATGGATGACAGTGTGACAGGAAATACATTTTCTATGTTTTATATTTTCCCTCCTTGTTTTTCTTTCTCCAGACGTGGAAACGGCTCCACCAGATTCCCAGATTAGGGACGTTGGTCCCGGTTCGTCACCTTCTGCGAAGTCCTGCGCGTCGTGGAAGTCGATCTGCCGCAGAGCGCGCTCTCCTTCGATCAGGTCACTCTTTGTGCCGCACACGTAGATTTTACAGTGCTGCAAAACGTAAAGCAGTCTATAAATGTCAGATAAAACCAGGCAGGAAATAAATCGTCACACTGAATGTGACTCGCTTCCAGTAGCTAGTGAGGATCGGTTAACGGCCTAATCAAAACCTGTTCATCACTATTTTCACATAAAATAGTGATGAATCGGCCCCTGTCACTTTAAACCAAACAAAATGGAGTTCTGCTGCTGTTGCTAGGTGATGAAACGTTTTGGATGTTCTGAAACGGCTCATTTTCCAGACACCAAAAAACCTCTGGGTGGGTTTTAATGAGCTGAAGAAAAATATAATAATAACATTTACAAAAATATGAGAAATATAAATTTTTATACCCATAGGTTTAAGAGATAAACATTATGACAGTAAAATCTTTGTTAAATCTGCAGTTTATAAAAATATTTATTTAATTTTTATTCAAACAGTGTTTGTTATGAGAAATAATCTGAAACAACCAATGAGAGACAGGAGGCGGGTCGTAGTGTTGTCAATCATGCCTCGTGTGGCGCTGCTCTGCTGCAGCTAGCCTTTCCTAAGCGTTTCCTGAATGCTAGGCTAGTGTTTCTGTAATTAGTTTCTCCTCCATCAGCACATTTAGCAGCAGGTACATGAGTCTGACTGACAGTGCTAAGCTCCGCCTCCTGGCTCTGATTGGTTGTTTTGTGTTCATTTCTTCAGACAGCATGATATTCCTGATCTGCCTCATAAACATGGAGGTGGTTGAAATAAATATTTTAATAAAGCGTATGCAGCAGGAGGGAAACGCTCTCACCTCCTCACAGTTCTGCAGCTCCTTCACCCAGAACCGGGCTCTCTGGAAGCTGCTGCTGTCCGTCAGATCTGAGGCACAAACACAGAAACCTCAATATCCTGCAGGTTTCACTCAGTTCAAAGAGCAGAGCAACGCAAATGTAGTGGTCTGAGAAACAGTAAAAAGATAAATATATAAATAAAAACACCCCCCATTTTTGAATCAAATTGGTCTCGTCTCTTGTCTTCTTTTTTTCTTATGCATATAGAGGTGTTTGTTGTGTGCATGTGTCTTCTTGCCAGTAGGGGCGCTCTCGAGCCGTTGTGGGTCTAACAGGAAGTAGCATGTGCAGCTCAGAATAAACGAGCTCTTGCCAGAGTAACGTTGTTTCAACTCGCTTCCTCTGTGATCCTCAGATCTTGGTTGCACAGGATTCATCTGCCTGCACCACTTGGTAGAGAAATTGTGAGAGAAATTCTCAGAACAGAGACGCTTGCAATTCAGCTTTAAGATTTAAAAAAAAATTAAGAATTCCCCCCCAAGTATTAATTTCTCTAAAAGTAAAACAAGCAACGGCCAGCCTGGCAGGGGGCCTGGTAAAGCATGGCGGGCTGCCAGGCTTATATTACTCTGAGGGAAACCCTGCTATCATTTTAATGGAGTAAAACCGTAAAAAATAATTTCATCCTCTCTGTGGTTCATTTCTAATTAAAAAATAAAAAAACAATATAAAAAAAAAATCATCCATCTTTGAAAATAAAGAAATTTATCCAGCAGCTTTTAGTGGATTATCAGTGGATTATCAGTGGATTATCAGTGGATTATCAGTGGATTACCATAGCAGACCACGGCGGCCCGGGCTCCTCTGTAGTAGATCCGGCTCATGGCCTCGTAGCGCTCCGATCCGGCCGTGTCCTGTCAGGAACAACATGGGAAATTTAAAGAAACATTCCTCATTTTAAATCAACATCAATAAGATATTCCTGCAGACTATTTCTATCACTTTGAAGGACTTGTCATCATTCACCTTTGACCTTTATGACTCACCCAAATCCCCAAAGTGATGACTCTGTCTGCGACCTGGATGGGTTTGGCCACAAATGCAGCACCGATGGTCTGAGGGCGACACAAACGCAGCTTAACGTTCTGATCCGAATATTTCATCTGAAAAATTATCACAACTAAACATGACAGGAATCAGAAGTTTACATGCACCAAGTTCATTTCAGTGATTAATTAATCTATCGATTATTCTGACAGTCAATTACAAAACTGGAACAAGCTGGACATTTTTTTAACTCTTTTATAATATTAAAAATGCATAAAAATAAACTAATAATTCAATCCTTTTTAAAATTAGAAAATAAACCTTTTATTCTCTTAAAGTCGGAAACTTTTTACTTCTTTGATCATTCTCAAAGACCAGAAAAGATGCAGATCAACACAGAGTAGAGATTATCTGAGGGTTATTTCTTGGATTATCAGATTAATAATTCAACAGCAGAAGGTTTTAGTACAGAGTGTGAAGCAGGTGAAGCTAAATGAGAAGTTTAGCCTGGAACAGATTTTAACTCATATTCAAAATGTTTATATTTTTTGTACAGTTTTGGTTTCATTTCTGATCTGAATGTCTTTCTATTAATCTAGTTAATGATTCATAAATTAGTGGATTATTTAACCACCATTAATCAGATTAATGCTTTCAGTCCTAAAAGACACAAACCAACTGAAGGTAAATCAGAAAAAACTGTTTAGGTTAGAATCATTCAGATGAGACACCTGGAGAGTTTGTTGGCAAAAAGTGAAACCTGACCTTTATTTTATTAGTAAAAACAGGAGAGGCGGGACTTCCTGTTGTCTCGGATTCAGCGCCTTGAACAAGTTTTCCAACTACCGTACTTTCCGGACTATTAGCCGCACCTGAATATACGCCGCAGAAGCTAAATTGCATGATTTGTACATATACAAGCCGCACCGGACTATAAGCCGCAGGTTTTTTATGTTTATGTAATTACCATATGGTTCATGCACAGAGGGGATTGTTGGGAAAGAGGCAACTGTTTGGGGAAGCTCCTATTTATTATCATTTCAACACAAGTTGCATATTTGCATACGTTAACTGTTACAATTTAGTGCAATAGTAGCTCCTATTTATAAACATTTGAACAAACAAGTTGCATATTTGCATAACATTTTCAACCATTTAGTGCAATAGTAGCTACAGAAGGTACAGAACTTATAAAGCTACAACAACAAATAAAGTGCCTGTGACACTACAGTAAGTCTAAATTGCAGTAACACGGCTGCTTAAAATATACGGTTATCAGTCTACCAGAAAAGTTATTACCGTAACCCTCCTCTTCATCTTTGCTGAAGTAAACGGCTGTAACCAGAAAAGTCAAGTCACTAATCCTCATCTTCATCTTCTTCCTCCGTACTAAAACCACAAAAGTCCTCATCTTCAGTGTCGGAAACAAACAGGTTCAGGGCTTCGTCAGCCACTCTCCCCTCTCTTTCAATGTCGCTCTCAAAACCAACGAACTCCTCTTCGTCACTGTCGGAATCGAACAGCCTCTGAAAGGCCTCAGGTGTGGCGGCGTCCTCCTCTCAATCACGCAGCAGTCCAGCCTTTCTGAACTCGTTGGTGATTGTGGATTTTTTTTACACTCCTCCACGCCATCAGGATCCACTCGCAAACTTGTGCAACGGTAGCTTTTCTCATGCGACCCGTTTTGGTGAACGATTTATTTATTTTTCCTGCTGGCGTCTCCAACGTCTCACCATTGACTCGTTGATTCCAAAGTTACATGCAGCGGTTCTATTTCCTTCGTTTACTGCCAAATTGACTGCCTTTAACTTAAAAGCTGCATCATATGCATTTCTACGTTTGTTTTCCATAATGAGGGTGTCTCACAAACTGTCTTGCGCTTGCAATGTCCGTCTTTCTCTCGCTGTCGTTCTGTCTCGTACCACTTGCAGTAGAAGTCTGCTTCCGGAGGACCTCCGCGTTCCCATGCGCGCAGCTACTTGTGTGTTGAAGCAAATGTGACGTCAACATGGTGGATGGATTTAGGTATCCCCCTAGTGGCCGTTAGCTGTAAAAATCCATAGATAAGCCGCACTGTTATATAAGCCGCAGGGTCGAAAAAATGGGAAAAAGTCGCGGCTTATAGTCCGAAAATTACGGTAGTTGAGCATGTTCAAAGTTTGTCACATCACAAACTTCAGGGTATTTTCTATAATTTGGTGGTTATCAAACTATTTGGCCGACAAAAATGTCAGTTTTATTGATTTATTTTTTATCTGACCTTCATCTCCAAAAAAGCTTCCAGTCTGGTCAGTCAAACTGGTCCCTGTTGGAACCAGCAGTCTGAAGTTTCCGCTGCCACCCAGAAGAGATTAAATTAAAATGTGAAACGTTTGGTGCAACACAAAGCCTCCATCCAGGTTTCTGTTTCTAAATGAATTTCATTTATTATAAAAATGGACCAAAATCATCCGCAGGCTTCACTGACATGAACATTTGTTTCCTTTGAACAAACCTTAATAAAATAAAGCAAAATTGAGCCACATCATGTTCCTCTTGTTGAAAAGATTCAGAAACCAATTTAGACAAAGACGATCAACCTGAAAAATGGAAACTATGAAATATGGCTTTTCTTTTATGTCTGGCAAACCTGCAAAAGCCTTTTGGTTTGATTAGTTTCTCAATTCATTAAAATATTGAGATGCGTTTATTGTTTATTTAGCAAGAAAAAGTAAATTGATAAAACTGTTTTTGCAAATATAACTAAAGAAAACTAAACTAAGAAAAATAGTAAATATTTACACTTAGAATTTTTGACGGCCAAATAGTTTGAAAACCAGCAAATTATAGAAAATACCCTGAAGTTTGTGATGTGACAAACTAGAAACATGTTCAACTGGTCGGGAAACTTTTCCAAGGCGCTGAATGCGGGAAAAGAGGAAGTCCTTCCTCTACTGATACAATCAAAGAGTAAAAACAGATCATAATAATATTCTTGTCACTATTATAAAAGCAAAGCAAGTGAAAACTATGAAATATAAAATTTTGAAAGAATTTTGCTGAGTGACAATAAAAATTAAGAATAATTGACTGCAGCTGAAATCACATTTTAGACCAGCTAGTGTCAGAGAAGCTTTCCCCACTTATTCATGCTGAGGTTTTTCAGTTTCATTTCCACAGAACAAACTGCACCAACAGTCAAACGCTCTCTGTCCTAAATCTTCCCCAAAGGTCAAACATGAACAACGAGCCCCGAGTTGAGTTCACAATCACTTCTCTGACGGTGAAACGCGCCGTGACCCGACAGCTCTGACTTTCCTCTGAGGCCGTAGAGCAGCTGGACTCACGTTCTGGTACGGCCCCACCAGGAAGCGGTGGTGGACATATCGCTCCACCAGGCTCGTCTTCCCCACGCTCTCCTTTCCCAGCATCACCACCTTGGCGTCCACACGCATGGCGCTCATGGCGGCGGGGCGATCAGTCAGGGAGTCACCGAGCGGCTGAGGAAGCTGCATGAACAACACAAAACAAATACAGTTTATATCAGGAATAAAGTCAGAAAGGATGAGAAAGTATAAAAGAAATAAATGAGATGTAAATACTAACATGTTTACCATGTTTATCTACATATCCTGGTACCTTGCTGCCATGATTTTCCATGACGATTATAAAGCCTGATCAAAATATCACAGGGACAGAATTAAACTTTTCTTTAAAGAAGATCCATAAAAATTACAAAACAGCTTAAGGTTAATCAACCAAACTTAATTTAACAAAATCTCAGATGAAAAGTCAAACCAAATTTTAAAAACTATTTATATCAGGTACCTTCACTATTTATAGAAGATGATTAAAGGCAATGTAAAAAATTGACTTTTTCAAAAGTCACATTTATGAGATCAAAGTCATAAATTTAGTTTTTGTGAAAAAGCAGTCAGACTATATCAGTGACGTGCAGTCAGCGTCTCATCATGGAAAAATTAAATTATTTTATATTATATTATAGTTTATACTATAAGTACCTATTTTTTATTTAGCTTAACTAATTCTGATTATTTTTTCTTTAAAAAATTTTTTTAAAAATCACTGCATTTTCACATTGTCCCATTCAAATACTGAAAGTGCAGCAGGTGAGGCAGCAGGAAGCCGAGCCTCACTTGGATTGATCAACGTCTCACTACCTGCACTGGCTGCCAGTCTATAGCAGCAGCTCCTCCTGTCTGAACGGCGCCAATAAAATGATTCAAAAACATTTCATGTATGAACTGATTTTACATCATTTAGCTCATGTATATAAAGTACAGTGTTTCTTGCCTCCAACTGTGTGTGCAACGTGTTTCGTGCTGAGCAGCAATAAGAAACCAGAGAACTGGAGGTGAGGCAGGCAGTTCTCTAGCCTCATGGCAGGGGGCGCTCATGATCCCAGACACTGACACTCCACACTGCAGAGGAAGAGACAGCAACAGTGAGCTAGCCATGGAGCTAGCTATGGAGCTTGAATTATAGCTAGCCATGGAGCTTGAATTATAGCTAGCCATGGAGCTTGAATTATAGCTAGCCATGGAACTAGCCAAGCAGCTAGCAATGAAACTAGCCATGGGGCTTCCCTTGGAGCTAGCCATGGAAATAGTCTTGGAGCTAGAAGTGGAATTAGCCATGGAATTAGCCCTGGAGCTAGCCATGGAGCTTGAATTGTAGCTAGCCATGGAGCTAGCCATAGAGTTTGAATTATAGCTAGCCATAGGGCTTGAATTATAGCTAGCCATGGAATTAGCCATGGAGCTTGAAGTGGAGCTAGCCATGGAGGTTGCCTTGAAGCTACCTCGTACCACATCAATCACTTATTAATTATCACAAAATAGCCATTAAGCCTAAAAACAAGCTAGTGCAACAGACTGAATGTTCTGCTCTTAGTATGGAAAATATTTCAGCGTTTTTTTGTTGTCAGTTGCTATGGCATCTAGGAAGCTGCGCTGATAGAGACAGAGAATGAAATGGTTTCGTCTTGGACTTTAAGGATTTCTCTTTTCTGTGGAGCATAATATTAATAATATCTACATGTCCAAGTTTGACTGAGTTAACGGAGTTATTGTTCGGCGGCGGCGCGGCTATGGATGGCATGTAGAATAATTGTCTTTTTGCCCTCCAGCGTTGTCCGCGTGCACAAAATTTCCTTATATAAACAATCACCTGCAGGGGTTCTATATTTGCAAATCTGATTAAGTATATTTATAATTCTGATTACGTCAGAGCCTCCCTAGCCATGAACCTCACCCACGTCACTGGACTATGTATATTTATAAGCAATACAACTTGACGTGTTTTTATTGAGCCTATAAACCTACAATATTTCCTACTGAAGAAAGTTGGAGCCACTAAAAAATGCATTTAACTTTCACAAAAAGTCAAAAACCTCAATTTAACGAAAAACAGAAAAATTCTGAGAAAAGTCTGCTCCCCCAGAGTAAAAGCGAAACTTTCGTCCTGCCTGCGGATAAAAGCTGCTGCGCTTTAGGAAACGTAAACATGACACAGCAGCAGAACGCTAACATAGCCAGGCTAGCAAAGCAAACTGAACCCCGTTACAAACTCACATGGTTGCTAGTGTCACTCCGCCAATCTCTCTAAACTTCCGATCACGTCCCACTTCCACCAGGGAGCCAAACCTCTTCTCACACCCGCCTACCAGGCCCGTTTCGCGGCTGACACGCTGCCCAGCAGCTGGCTCGTCATCCCGCAGCAGGCTGGATGGCGGCAGAGGCAACGTTAGCTCCGCTCGTTGCGCAGCGGCTGAAATCACAATCCGGTCGCCAGAAAGCGGGCGATACAGAAACGATTGGAGGCGGTTCAGTGGGTCGAGCGGATTCTGGTTCAGAGGTCGAGATGTTTCTGCCTGGGCTGCAGACAGAGCTCCCGCTGAGCTTTGTTTGGTTGGTCGGAACTAATGAGCGAGCGCTGCAGAAACCGGAAGTGGTCGAGTTCTTCGAGACATTCTCCGGATGTTTTTCCTCCGAATCATTAAAATAAAAGTGTTACTGTTTATTTAAACGTTTTTTTTTTATATATAGAATCTAACTGATGTAAAATACTGTTGCTACATTCTCGTGTACAGTAGGTGGCGGTATGCACCTTAAAGTTGCTTGCGATCCGCTATAATAGAAAAGAAGAAGAAACTTTTTTGTTTGTTTTGATTTTTTGTAGAATTAATTATAATTAATTTATAAGGAGTAAGCCTAGCAAACAGTACAGTCAGTAATGTAAAGAGTAATAATAATTTCCCACTTTTTTTCTACCACAAAAACAATTGTAAAAAAGCGTGGAAATACTTGTAAAAGTAAAGCATGCTGTTCTGGAAAGCGCTAATCCTTATCAAAAATGGAAAGTGACGTAAATCCAGGGATTTATTAATAATACATTCATTTCTCCCTGAAGTTTGATCTAGTAATGACATCACCCCCAAGTTCTGCTAGTCACCTCATGACCTGTGTAGTTGGAGCAGAGGTATTAGTGAACAAAGCATTGAAGGCCTGGTGTTTGAATAAATGCAGAGCAGAACTCTGTTTTGACCTAAAGAAAATATAATATAATAGGGTGCCATCAGAATATCTGCGGCACTTTAGGGGTGCATTAAGGATTGCAGTGTGTGATGGTGGGCCAGAACATGCAAGAACTGACAGTGAGCCAAGCATGGGTCCTAGACAGGGGCCTTCAGAATTTTTAATGTGTTCATGAACACATTCATGTGTTTTTAATTAACACATTAATGTGCACCACCTTCATCAAAATAATTTAACACAGTAGAATGTTTCAGCCTAAGTCACTTTTGTTTTATCAGTAAATTAAATCAAAACTATCTATTGTATTTAATCACTGTTTCTTTGTTTGAAACTTCCTTGATTTGAAATATTTAACAAAAAAGCAAAAACAGAAGAAATCTGTAAGAGCCAAATTCTTTGTCAAGTATTGTGAAAAAGTTTTTCACTTGTGAGGAGAAGAATGAGAAAGAAAAAAGTACCAAAGGTTGTATGTTTGTGGAAGGAATGGAAACAATAAAACTACCAGAAGAAGAGGGCTTGAAGGGTGATTACTTTAAATACTTGTGGTAAACTTTCCCAAGCAAAGATCAGCACACAACAACAACAATAATAATACACATTAGAGAACCAATATCATACCTATCTCTAGAATATAATGTTTTGTAAATAAAAATATTACCTAAGCTAAATATACTTTAATTATAATAAAAAGCTAATTATATCATTGTAACTGTCTAATTATTTAGAATAGAATAGAATAGAATAGAATAGAATAGAATAGAATAGAATAGAATAGAATAGAATAGACTTTATTGATTCCCAAGAGGAAATTGCTTATTTGTTGGAAGCTACTCCATCTTAGGTAATAAATACAAAGTTTATAAACTATATATACCTAAATGTGATAAGTTAAAAATGACTAGACATAAACAAATAAATAACAAGAAACCACATGCAATATATTAATCAAAAACAAACCTATAAATGTGCGCAATTTGTTTAAATTGTTGACTTTAATAAGGGTTGTATTCTAAGGCCAGTTTAATGTGTTTCAGCTACAGGTTGCTAGGTAGTGTTTCTACATTTGATCAGAAAATAATGTTCATTTTGTTTAATGATCTCCATGATATCAACATATAAAACAATGAAATATATTATGTTCTACATAAAATTATTGACACAAATTAGCTAAACATAAATGAGACATTTTTATTATTATCCAACTCCTTCCCTCCATCCCCCCATTTTTTAAAAAGTTAACTTGCCACTTACAACATGGCGGACACACTGACGTATCTTTAGTCTGTTGAGCGCACTGTCCAATGGCTAACGCCCGTTTTGCCACACTTCCCATGTTATTGGACAACATCGCGAACAGGTGATGCTAATACTGAACGGTAATTGGTCCATTCCTCAGCAACTCTTGTGCACTGAGACGCGCTCACCGAGAGGCTGGAGAAGGACGCCAACATGGCTGAAGCAGAGGGGAGCGAAGTTACTTCAGGAGGAATTTTCCAAGAAATCTTCACCTCCCCGTTGAACCTCACCCTGCTCAGCCTCTGCTTGTTCTTGTTATACAAAATTTTCCGCGGCGACCGGCCGCCGGATCTGGGCGAGGTGGAGAAGCCTCTGCCTAAAATGAAAAAGAAGGATTTCACTCTGGCAGAGTTGAAGCCTTACGACGGAGTGCAGGATCGCGGATTCTGATGGCCGTTAACGGGAAAGTATTCGACGTGACCAGAGGAAAGAAGTTCTACGGACCAGGTAAATGTTCCCAAACGCTCCGGTTTCCACCCGCCTGAGCCGGCCGTTTGTCGTGTCCAAGGTTTGAACAGCTGCTTCGGTTCACCAGCAGGTTTGGGTTTAGTTTTCTGCGGAATGTGGCGTCACACCCTTTCAGTGTTTGAGCTCAGGCGGAGAGGCTGGGGCAGCCTTCACATCAGAGATCGTCTATGAACCAGTTGACTCCTTCTCCACAAAAATATGTGCTATTAAAGAGACATATAATTAGTGTTATTGCAATCAAATGATTAAAGCTCATTTACACAATTTTTTTTGTTAATGTTTTAACTTATATTTATTTAATGTATTTTATTTAATGTTTTTATAAAATGAGTGGTTGAATTGAGTAAAACTTTGAATTTATTGTTTTGAGGTTTTTCTAAACAGAAATCACGTTGTTTAATGTGTGTGTGTAAGAAAAAACACACACTAGTGGAAGCAGTCACTTATTGAGTCCAATATCCTATCAACTTAATGTCATACCTGATCATATCAGGTGCAGCAGAACGGGATAGTTTTAGTTTTCTGTTATTACCATAATCCATAGCATCTGGATTATTTTGAACATTATTGTAGGTTAAAATTCCAACACTACATCCCTCATTTGTTGCTCTTCAAAATCTCGTGTGCCTTTTATCACTGAATAACTAATCTGAATGTCAGATTCACTTCATGAAGTCATTTTTTCCAGGTGTCACAGGAGCGTTTTCACTCAGTTGTACCTGTTGGGTTTTTTCTTATCTCACTCTGTAACCTCTGCTGTGTGTGACCTGTGACCGACTGGATAACCGGCAGCCATCATCCAAAGTCTGGACTTTAAATCCCAGCAGGAGATCATGGTTTTACTCATTTTAATGGAGTTTTTTTACATTTTTTTTCTCTGAGGAGTTTTTGCGGTGCCAGTGGCTCGGCGCAGAGAGGAGAGAGGGCGAGGAGAGGAGAGGAGAGGGGAGAAGACATGCGGCAAAGGTCGCCGGGAAAAGTCAAACCCGCGACGTCCGCCTTGAGGACTGAGGCCTCCAAACGTGGGGCGTGCTGACCCCTGCACCACCGCAGCACGCCCCGCTTTGAGTGTTTTTAGCGTTTTTGCAAAAAGTCATTTTTCACAGCAGCATCTGCAGCCCTGAATGTGTTTAAGAGTCAAAGAGCCGCTGTTAAAACTCAACACGTCAATAGAAATGAAGTTTATTAACTTTCAAGTTAATAAACTTTCAATATTCAAGTTGCAGTTGAATATTTTATTATTATGCTTCAGATTATCTGTTGCATACAGTGAGGATCTGATAGTATGCTTTCACTGCATTATTGAAATATTTTAAAACAGAATGAATATAGCATATTTTTATTAATGCAGAAAAGTAACTCAAATTAAAATATTATAAAATTGGTTATGTGTTAATATTAAAATTAAAGTTTTTGACCAGGAATCATTTCTGCTGCTAGCACTAGGCTAGCAGGTTAGCTTTGGTTGTATTTACCCAGAATGCCCTGCGCTGCAGTCCAGTTCCTGCTTTTGGAGCGGTCTTTGGTCCGCTTGGCATTCACATTCAAACTGAACCAGACCGAGGTTTGGAGGACCAGAGGTCAGAGGTTAATTAGAGTTCACACCTCACCAACCGGACTTTGACTAGGCAGACGGAGCGCAGTCGGGTGAAGTCTGATCAGGTCTGAATGATAAAATCCTTTTATTGATTTAGAATAACTGACTCTTCATCTGGAAGTTTCCCTTTGCTTTAAATGCTTGTGTTCTTATTTCTAGCTCCCCCTGCTGGACAGAAACATTTCGTGTTATGATCAGCATGCAGACATTTCATAAATATTCACAATTTAAATAAATAATTTCATTTATCAAAATCAAACTAAACACCAAGCCTGTAATAATCACACATTATTCTGGATGATTAATTTCGCCAGATGTTTTTATAATTAACAGTAATATTGTTGTTTTGAGATCATTTTCCAGTAATATTATGGTAATAACGGCATAATGACAAAGCAAAAACAGACTCTCTCAGATCAGCACACTTTAATTTCTAATTCACGTTCATCTCTGCAACTCGAATACATTTTAAATATCTCAAATAGATAAAACAGAAACAACAAATAAACCGAATTAGAAAAAATGTCCCAAAAAAACACCAAACTGAAAACTTTATCATCCAGTTTTTGGTGGGAAGAGAAACAGTTATTGATATCACTGTCATTTCTGATGTGGTGAGTTGATTTATGGATGGTTGTGTCTGCAGACGGGCCGTACGGCGTGTTCGCCGGCAGAGACGCCTCCAGAGGCCTGGCCACCTTCTGCCTGGACAGAGACGCCCTGAAGCTGGAGTACGACGACCTGTCGGACCTGAACGCCATGCAGCAGGAGAGCCTGGCCGAGTGGGAGACGCAGTTCACCCGTCAGTTTCATCTTTCTACTCATCCATTTCCTGTTTCTGATCATCTTGGAAAAACACCTTTAAAATATTAGAAGGCAAACATTCTGATTAGTTCTGAGGTTTTAGAGATCAGAGCTTTCGGGTTCACCTGATCCAGATGTTCTGCTCACATTAGCAATTAGTGAGTCCAATGCTCTCAAATCAAAGACCTTATTGATCTGCTCAGGGCGTTTTCATAAAATCAAAATGTGTTTCAATCTTTAAGCTTCAGACTGAACCTTTTTAGTTGTTGCGAACTCCATA